CAGTGTATTATTTGTTGAAACTGTCCTTCCGATTTGATTTGAAACTGTCTCATTGCTACCTGTTTGTCAATAAAACTTTGAAAAAAAAACAATCTATTTATAAAAAAAAATAAATAAAATAAAATTAGTTGGTAACATAATGAAAAAAAAAAAAGAAATATCACGAGTGCAATACATGTATGCAAAAGCCTGACAGGACAGAAAGCAAGAAATTAATATTCATTAAGTTCTGACAAAACGTTAGGTGGATATCAAAATACTACGTTGAGGCTGGGGATTTGGCTCAGTGGCAGAATGCTTGCCTAGCAAGCTAGATGCTATGGGTTTGGTCCTTGGCACCAAAAAACAAAACATTATGTCATGAGAAGCCTGCCCTATGATGCCTACCCCTTTAGGAAACTTCCTGTGTGTACTCATGCAAACATATAAGCTCATGAATGCTTTAGTCATGCTTGTGGTTCTCAGAGTGGGTAAGAGAATCAGGATTGTCTTCATGGATAGCCTGACTGAGGCTTCACCTTATTTTTGTCCCCGTTTGGTATCTGTTATGATGCACACATGGCGCCAGTGTTATTACCGCATTACAGATGAGAGAACATGTTTGTAAGAGGATGCAACATAAAGACAGCTATAATTCATAAAATAAAGTATTTTGCAGATAATGACACAATCCTTCCTGCAATCTTTGTGGCATTTCTTATCCCTTTTTTCCTGATAGATTAAGGAGCTCACATGATTTATGTAGTCTGTTTTAGTTTGTAGCAGAAAGAGAGGTTATGATGGTTAAATTTATTTTTCAACTAAATTGGGTGCCGGGGTACTCAAATGCTTATCTGAGCATTACTACGGTTTATCTGTGAGACTATTTCTGCTGACACTAATATTTGCATCGGCTGAGCTGAAGTGGACTCAATGAATCAGATCAGCATCCCAAAGGTGGGCAGGCAGCATCCAGGCAGCCTGAGCAGAAGAAAACTCTGAACCTCTTGCCAGCACAAGGGAGGCTCGAGTTACCTGATTACGCAAAGCTGGGACTTTACTTCCTTCCTGGGTGCTGATTCTGTTGAAGGCATCTAGGGACTTTCAGCCTAGAATTGCATTATTGCCTATCCCGGGTCTCTAGTTTGACAGTGTCAGATCTTCTCAGCCTTCACAGATTATTCCTTATGATATAAGGCAATATATGCATGTGTGTACATGTATCTCCTATAAAAAGTACAAAGTACATATAAAGCATGTGTGCATGTGTTTACTCTAGCATCCTCCAAAACATATAGAATACACACATTGTTATTGTTCTGCTAAAGAATCTCTGGTTTATTTATTTATGTTTTAAAGGGAATAATAATAGAAAAAATCACAAGAGAAATGATGCAGAAGCTCACTAAACAAAATAACACAAATTCAACAATGGCTGTTATATTGCATGCGGTTGTCTTCAAATAGTTGCCCAGATTATCAGATAGCAGCATGCAAAATTGCTCAAAAATTATAAGAAATTAAAAAAGAAAGATAAAAAAATCTAAGAATCAGCAGCTCCCTTCCACGGAGCAGCAGAAATCAACAGCACAATGATCCAACGATCCAAGCTGTCCTGTATGTACACAGATATTTTTCTTATTCCCTCACTTCTTTCTTTCTTTTCTCTTTCCTTCATCCCAGTTATTCCTTCCCTTTGAATGGTTTCTTTTCCTTTCACAATTCATATTAGCTACCAACAGATACATGAATTCTATCATTTTTATTTTAAAGCATAGTTTAAAAATAAATGGCAAATTGCCTCATTGAAACTTTTCATAATATGGTGAAGTAAGATTTTATCTTACTGTCAGTAAAACAAAATTCCACGAGCACATTGAAGTAACAAATGTCAAATCACCACATTCAGACACAAGTAAATGTCCCAGCTTCTTAAAATAAGTAGTTTTTGTTTTTATAATGAATTATTATTTGGCAAAGAAATATAGTTTTGGAACTCAAGCTGTGAAAGTGAGTGGTGCTATCAATGGGTTTTACAGATACACCATATGCTTCCTTTATAAGTTCTCTTGTCCTGTCTGTGGTCCTTTACTTTCTAGACTATAATGAAGAGCCCAATGGCATACAATGCAGAAAACAGTCTGTGGAACACAGAGAAGTAATAATTCAGTGCCTCTTTATGAGTTTGAGACCTCATCTCTGTAGCAAGCAGTGTGGGGTAGGAAAAAATATTGTTCCTACCAGATATTGATTCTTGGATGGGAAACTTGTAGATTTTCATGCAAGTCAGATTACTAACAGGCTTTACATGCTTTCCAATAAATACATTCACAATGAGGATCCCAACAGAATAGTTAGCTAATTAACTGTGCAAGTCCCTGGTCTGAGGCTCCTGTGGGTAACGTGTGTTTCCTGTACTGAGTCATAACTCATATGATTAAGAAGTCAGTTCTTCACCAGGGTATTCGAAGACCTTTGTATCTGTTTCCATTGAACAGACATGCTAAAATAGAAATAAACCTATAATTTACTGTCTCAGTTACTCGTCTCTCATTGTTGGGACAAATACCTGCCACCCAAAAGGAAGGATGGAAAAGTTTCTCAGTTGATTCCAAGGCAGACTGGCACATGGCAGAGGGCAGCAGTTCATGGCAGCAGAAGACATTAAAACAACAAGATCAAAAAAGAGGAGTAGCAGCAACAAGAGCAACAGAGAAGTGCATGTTCCTTAAGTTTCATTCAGGCTATATGCCCCAGGCTGGGGGTAGTACTCACACCCATAATCCCAGCAGTACTCAGATCCATAATCCCAGTGGATCATGGGTTAATCTCAAACTATAGAACTGCACCTCAATGACTGCATGAGGCTTTGGGGGGGGACAAATACATACAAACCAAACAATTACTATATTCAAGTTTTCATTATTCTTCTGTCAGTCATCTATTTTAGGCACTTTAGCTAAGTTATTCAGAAATTCTGAGTCTTATGGTGAATTTGGAAGTATTATATCTACACTTGAACAAGTTCACATACTTAAGATAAGGTGACAGTCCGTAATCTTCTGAAAACTGTTTCAACTTGTCTATGCTTATGATTCTTTACCTGTAGAATATGAAAAATTAACAGAAGTTAAGTTATATCTTCTTCCAAGGAGTAGATAATTACTTACAAAGTTTTTAGGAGAATATCTCAATAAATGTTAGGTGTTAATTACTTATTACTATTATTATTTCCTGATGCACTTAGTGAACATAATTGGAAATAAAAGTAGAACCACTATTCCTTGGCAGGCACAGGTGACAATCACACGCAAGCCAACAGTTTAATAAAAGCAAATGCCCCATCTGTACAGGCAGAATTACAAACACTGCTATTTGTAGCACTTCCAAAAGTCAGAGTTGAGCTGAGGCGACAGTGTAATTTCTCATTGCTAGTTGAGCAGCAAAATCACCTGAAATCTTTCAACACTGACCATACTTAAGCCCTATTTGAGAACAACTAAAATAGAGTCTTTGAGGAAGGCAGAACTTCCGCATGTTTTCTGGAGTCAGGAAAGCTCACATTTGTGGATAATTTTTAATTCCTGAAAGAGTTATCACTTGAATAGATGGAAAAGATTTGGAAAGTAGCACAGCTTGAGATTTTCTACAGCATTTATACACACTCATAGAGTTATTATGAATCTTTTCACCTGCCTGTAATGATTTCCCTTGTCCTACTTCAAGTCAGAACAAAGAGGTTTTTAGCTCCCTCCATTTTTTAAGGTTGATTTGAGCATATTTTCTCTCTCTTGGGTGTTCCATACTCAAATTGCCATCTCTCACTTGGAGCTACCCTCATCCTGTTTAGAGAATGATCATTTCCTTCTTCAACAAAAGACTTTCATTTTATCTTGCTACGTTGGAGTCCAAAAAGTACAGTCAAAGCTATTTAAAAGCCTGAAAGTTAGGATCACCCTGACATTAAAAGGTAAAAATAAAAAGGAGAGGAAATCCAGATGTACTTGGCTTATCCTCAACACAGATTTGTTTCTTTCATTTGGAAACCTGAATTCTCCCTTCTCTTCCCTTCTCTGTTCCCTTCTGTGAAGACCACGAATATAGGGGAGCTCAAAAATGGAAATTATACTCAATCCTTCCGTCTTTGAGAGTGACAGCATATCCTTCCCCTAAGAGAAAATGCTAATAAATATGAACTTTTAGGGGTTTCCTGAGCATTTCATTGCAGGACACTTACCATATCCAATATTAGCAGAGTTAGTTTGATAAATTAAGAGCACTCATCAACAGAAAGTCATATTGTGATCCAAGTGCATGCACAATCTGTAGTCCATTAAAATCTGCTCTGTATTTTTCTCCCTTTCTGTTACCAGTTGCCAAGTTGTGTTAGTTTAAAATGTTCGCTAAATTTTATGGGCTCTTACTCAGTTGAGAATGACACTGGATGCTTAACTGACAGGGAAGTTACCATGATTACAAAGGTAGCTTTCCAAGGCTGAAGCTTATTCACTGAATTCCAGATGTGCTGGTCACTGTGATTTCCCCAAATGTGAGAAATTCATCTGCATAATTTGTGGCAGATTGAGATTGTGTTCATGGTTTCCTCTGGTGGGGGAGAGGAAGCATGATGTAGGAAGGGAAAAGCATAAGATGAAATTATGGTGTCTCCCCTCAAAGACATCAACTGCTGTGTATGCATTGAAAGAGAAGATAAAAGAAAATTGGCAAACATTTGTCATGATTTTATGATAAATATAAGGGGGGCCTGGCCCTAACTCAGTCCTTTAAGTGGCTGCTTCCACAAAGCTGTCAGCCTCCATCCTCACAACACTCCAGCCGGCCAAAAGTGCCCTGAAGGCATTCAAGGAGAAAAAAAAAATCCTTATGATAAATATCAGGAGTGGAGAGAGGTACAGCTCTGGTAAACACCCAGGAACACTTTTCTCTAGTGGCTCTGCATCACACGCACTCCTTCCTGGCTCTACCTTCTGTCATTTCAGTACTTGGCACTGGATTATTATAGTAGCATGAACCTTCCTGGAAAATATGTAAGAGAAGTATAGTTTGCATGTTCTTTATGAGAATCTGGTGCCTAATGGTTTGAGGTGGAGCTGAGGAGGTGAACAGTGTCAGGGAGTGGCTGCAAATACAGGTTAACATAAGGAAAGAGGTTCTATTGGACAGAGATCATAATAAAATAATTGATTCAGACTTTTTAAAAATCTTATTCATCTCAGAATATGAATATGGCTTTACTTCTTATACCTCATGTTCATTTTAAAGTCTTGAGTCAACAACTTCTGACATTGTCAATTCTGCAGATAAACCACTACCATTAAAGGCTACTGGGGACTGGAAATCCCATTTAATCCAGCTATTCCTCTACTGGAAATTTTCCCAGAGGATCTGAAAACTTCATATCATAGTGATATATGTGGGCCTATGTTTATAGCAGCACAATTTGTGATAGCCAAATCTTGGAAACAACCAAGATGCCCATCACCTGAGGAATGG